TTTTCCTGTATATTGTGTTGTGTAGGAAAAACCAAAAGAGCTCCGAGCAGCTCCTTGTAAAACCTGTATTGTTTAGAGAGAGTTCATTTGAGAAATGAAGGCTTGAGAGCAAGGACCACCACCCTGTCCGTGCTGCTGTAGTGTTCTTCTATTTTTCAGGAAATTTACAAGTATTTTGCAGGGTTCCTAGACACCTCTTAATTTTAAAAGTAACATCTGCATTGGCAACTCCAGTAGAAAAACAGTAACTCACAGGGGTCAACGGAGGATTCATTTTGTTTTGGGAATTGTGAAATGAGCTATCATATGGCATCTTACTTTAGAAATTTTGTCTGAGTTAGAAGCTTGGCATTTGAGCGTTAGTAAAGAATTGATTTAATTTTCCTTTTATAATAAGTTAAAGTTTTTACACATCTAATACAGGGAAAATGTCAGTAAAGAATCTTTCACGGAAACTTCTGTTACTTTAATACTGTTTTGCAGGAGGTAATAATGGCCTTGAATCTACAGCATAGCTCTCATCAGAGAGCAAGGACTGATTGGAAAACTCTTATATTGTGCCTGCTCCAGGTCATTTGTATTTCTTGGCAATTAATCTTGAAAATAAAGAAAGGATATTAACATTTTATTTCAAGAGTGCTTTGATTGGATTGAGTTAACTTCATTCAGGAAAATTGACAATGATTCTTTTGTTTTTTTTGTACCATGGGGAGGAGGAATATCTTATAGTGAGAGCTGAGATAATGTGTTTTAATTTCTTTAGAGAAACTAGGTAATTTTAATAAGGGGATTACAGGGAATTACTGTAGGAACCCTAAACAAAGCTTGATATTTGTGATGTAATCAATTACATGTTTAGTGGAATATGACTTTGGTGTATAAATTTAATCAAAAGTATGAGGGAGAGCATGTATTAATAGCTATCAATAACAGCAATCAGTAATAAATGATAAATAATCAGCAATTGCCATATGTTTACTTCTGAGCTGGCTCATTATTAATGGACGCTTGGAGCAGTATCTTTTGAAAATTTCCCCTTTAATCTTTTTTTCCAAGTAAAGGAAGACATATTCTGATGACGGAGAAAAAACCCTGGAATGCCACAATCTGAATGCGGATTTATAGTCCTTTTCTAGCATATCAGCAGGTTCCTTATTTGACGTTTTGATATGGTGTTGTTCAATTGCCCAAGGCCCACTGGAGCTGGAGGGCTGTTGACCTCAGAGCTCTATAAACTTAAATATTTCAAACAAAAGCTTCCATGAATCTCATTTTCTCATTGGAGCTCTGCAGCTCTAAAACCACTGAGAACAGCAGACCCTTGGTTTTTCTAATCTGTTACATGGAAACTGTGTTGTCAGTATCAGATTGTCCTACCTGGAGCAAACCCGATACACTGCACTTCGCCCTTGAGGTTTCTGCCACGGCATGCTCTGCTCTGTGCATTTGGGGAATCGAGGCCTACAATAGTTGTCTGTTGTGTTCTGGGCCTCACTGAGGAAACTGATTATTGAAATGGAAGAAATTTCAGGTTTATTTGTGAACATTCTATTCTTGTATCTGTTATATATTTGTAGGTAGGGAAATTGCTGTTTGTGATATACTCTGTGTTAACTATTGTCTTTTGATCTGGGGAGAAATCCTTTCGAGGGGTGAGAGTCATGAGTGGTTTCAAGCAGAAGGAGTTCATCCCCTCTGGTTCAGCGGTTCGTCATACCTTCCCTGTATTCGCAGTCTCTCTCCGCATACACAGAATCTCCTTAAAGTATCAGGTTTGATTTTTCACTTTATTTAATTTGGTAATATAGTGTGCATTTTAAAACTAAAGTTGGGGCAATATTTTTTAGTATGAAACTTAATATTACTTTTGTGAAATCATATTATTTTAGAAAAGGAAAACTGATGATTTTTCATTTAGCAAATTCCTGGGAAGATTCAATGTTTGTGCTTTTGCTGAATCTAACAAGTGGGTACTACATGTTTTCATATTGGTACCTGAAGTTTACAGATTCTTTCTAATTGTGGAGTCTTTCTGAAGGAAAAAAAAAGTTCACAAATTGTAATTTAGGAATTATGCATGGTAGTTTTCTATGACAATGAATACCTTAACAGCGGTTTTTTTTTGAGATGGAGTCTTGATTCTTTGCCTAGGCTGTAGTGCAGTGGCATGATCTCTGCTCACCGCAACCTCCGCCTCCCAGGTTCAAGCAATTCTCTGCCTCAGCCTCCTGAGTAGCTGGGATTACAGGTGTGCACTACCATGCCTGGCTACTTTTTGTATTAGTAGAGATGGGGCTTCACTATATTGTCCAGGATAGTCTTGAACTCCTGACCTCGTGATCCACCCGCCTTAGCCTCCCAAAGTGCTAGGATTACAGGCATGAGCTACCGCGCCTGGCAGCGTTTCCAAATTAATGAAAATGGTTATTGAGAAGGTGGCATATTTCAGACAGTTTTATTATTTTTCTAGAAGCTTCAGGATTGCAAAAATCTTTTGGTCAGAGTAAGTTAGAGTCAGTGTTAGAAGACACTACAAATCTCTGCTAAAAGCTGAATCATCTCTGTATTTGTTACAGTATTTATTTGCCTTGAGATCTACTCTATCTGGTGATTAATTTAAACTTTTTATATTTTTTATTTTGACCATGAACTTTCTAAGACTCCTTTCTTAAAATGGCAACTCTTTTTCTTGTGTCTAGTCCATGTTTTCATTCTGGTCTTTTAAATTTGATAAAAGCATACTAACTCCCTTACTTATTTCTGTTTTACCCTTTATCCCTAAACTTCATGAGTCATAAAAGTTAAAGCTTCTTCTGATCCTTGATGTCACAATGTAGAATTTTTTGTAACTTAAAAGAATTACAAAATGGTATGAGTGACCTCTGTGTGACTATTGCAAAGTTAATTATTTTCCGGATACTCCCCCTTCCCTGTCAAAGAATTAAAGTGATTCTAAAGAAAATTGTAAAAAATAATATCAATGATTTAGAGGTGAAGGTACAAATCAAATGTGTATTTTCCCAATTTTGTCCCTTCCCCCACAGACTTAAACTAATGTTAAAGAATCTACTCCTCCTCCTACTTTACCTTTCCTATAGATTTGTAGATTTTTACAAGTCTGTAAGGGACAAATATGAAGACAGCTTAAGTGTTATATGTATTACCTTAATGCTAGTTTGTGTCTTTCTTTAGATAAAACTGCTTTATTTCAGAGGATTGGTAGTAGAGAGTGCTGGGGCTGCAGGGCTGGTATGACCCAGAGAAAGGGCTGTCCCACATGTCTCTAGATTTTCTGGTCTCTGGACTTCCGTGTCAGAAGACAGCAGCTTAACAGTTTTTGAGGTTGTTGACACTTAATGGGACTAGTATCTTAATAATGACCCAAATTATTTGATTGTTGTTATATTGATACTGATCATTTATCATGAAATCATCTTTGGGCTATTAATAAATGTTTGTAAGACTGATTTGTTTAGAACTTGAAAGCAATATCTTGAAAGGTTAAGTGCATATCCTCATTAAAATCTTGGTATGTAGAATACAGATCAAGCTCTTATTTTCAAAGAGTGTATGCTCTGAAGTATAGTTGGTGATAAAAATCCACATGCTATAAATTTGTATATCTATTAATATGCTTCATCTGTTCCTTCTAGGACTGATAAATATTAAGGTGAGCTAAAAGGCATATGTTAGACTTATTCAAGGGGTGCTGTAGAAATATTCAAGAAGGTTTGATCAGGCATGGAAATAGAGAAGAGAAACTAAGGCATAAGCCAGGGTCAGAGAAGTAAGTCCTAGGGATTTAAAGATTTTCAGTATCTGCCATTAGAAAAGCAGAGGCACTTAAATGTTTAGTGCTTTAAAAAAGAGTGTTTGGTAGAATTGTTAAGGTTTCAGTGATATGCATGGAAAGATTTCTCTCTGCCTCTGCACTGCTGGATTGATCATTCAGTTTCTCACATCTGATTAAACCTTGGCCTGGAGATACCATGTATTAGTTAAATGGGTATGTAAAGACAGGACTGTAAAGTCGACACTGAATTTGAAAGTTACGTAGGATTGCCATGGCACTTCCATGGGGGTTTCGAGCAGTGCTGGAGGAATTTCAAGGAAGTTATTCCAAAATTTTTTACATGCTGTGCTTGCTTTAAAATACATTATTATCCTATTGCAGCTAGTCACGTTGTTACTACAGTTCAGAGGTTCTCGGTTGGCAGGGCATTTGGGAATGTATATAGGTATTTCCAGTTGTCGAAATGTTTGGAGGCACTGCCAGTGTTGATTGCTCACAGCGATATTAAATGCCCATAAGGAAAGGGACAGTCTTGTTCAAGGAGGAATTAGCCAGTCCAAAATGCAGTGGTCCTCTGTTGAGAGACTCTGCCCAGGTCTTTCTTACTTCTTTTCTTTTAACACCTCTTGTTTTTGGTATAGTTGAATAAAGAATTAAGTTTTTAAAATATCATTTCAGGACTCACTGTCAGATTTACAGTGTTTTTGATATTTTAGGTGTATAGCTTGACAGTGTTGTGAGTCCAGGAGGGAGAGAGGAAAAAATGAGAGTCTGGATTTTAGCAACTAGGATTTGGAAGTAAGAGGGAGGAGGCTCTACCCACACAGATACATGGTGAACCTTTAAGGAGAAGATGTTAGGATCTTTCTTTTCTCTGGAAAGAAATAATAAGTGCATTCTCATTTGGACAGAGAGGAAAAAGGTAGTGTAGAAAGTCACAGAAGATTATTAATTATGTAATAATCTGAATTATATTCTAACCTTTTTTATTAAGAAAAAGGTGATAGCTTGGGAAACAAGGTGACACTCCATCTCTGCCCCCCACACAAAAAAATTAGCTGGGCATGGTGGCGAGAGCCTGTAGTCTTAGTTACTTAGGACGCTGAGGTGGGAGGATCACTTGAGCCCAGGAGTTCGAGGCTGCAGTGAGCTATGATTGTGCCACTGCATTCCAGCCCAGGTGACAGAGTACTACTCCATCTCTAGAAAAAACCAAAACAACAACAACAAAAAAACAAAACCCTTGACATTCATTGAATTAATAAATCAAAGAATACAATGTTTGAAGTAGTTTTAGTTATTCATTATCAGATGTTAGGATATATCTCAGTTGTCTGAATTGTGCCTATGAATTAGCAATGACAAGAGGTGAGGAAAAGAAAAGAAGTGTTAAATAAAGAGGGAAAACATAAAAAGCAGATGGTAAGAATAAGGCAGCATCTCAGAAAACAGCAGGTCCATCCTCCCATGCCCTCAGGACAAAAACCTCAGCGCCATCCCTGACTTCTTTCTTTCATACCTAAGATCTAAACCTACAGCACGTCTTGGGTGCTCTTTTAAAAAAATGTATCTGGGACCCACACATCTGTTCTACTGCCTGAGCCGCACCCCCATTGTCTCGTGGTTAGGCTGGACATCAGCCTCCAACATCGCCTCTTCACTTGCCCTTCACGGACTGTGCACCAGCCACACTAGCCGCACCAGCTGCAGCTCCCTCTCCGCTTTCCCAGGCTCACAGCTCTGTGAGGCTTCTCATTTTCGCTTCCACCGCCACCTCCAAATAACGTTTCTCCCCATACTTTCCTGGCTCGAAGCTCTTCTCTTTCCTGGCTTTTGTGTAGACCCCTCCTCTGAGTCCTCTGACCACATTGTTGAATTTGCACACATAGAGGTAGAGACAGAGACTGTAATTCCGATCTCCCTCTCCCTAACTCTTTTTTTCTAAAGCACTTTCATTTTCTGGCACGCCACATATTTTACGTATGTATTTGCTGTGGCTGTCCACCCCAGAAGGGCAGGAATCTTCCTCCTTTCCACTGCTCAAGGGCAGTGCTTGACACACAGTGGGTGCTCATGGGGAGCCAGGAGTAAAAAATTGGTGAGATGTAGTTAAGATGCATTAGCAGAAACCAAAATTATGAGATCTTGACCAAATTATCTTAAGCTCTTGTTAATTGAGGATGCTGGTGCTGTGCTTATTTTGGCGAAGGTGACCTGAGCAAGTTCACCAAAGGCAGCGCAGTGCCCTCTGCTCTTCGGGAGAAGCTTCATAAATGGTAGTGATGATGACACTGACAATTCTTGTGAGAGGGAAAAGGCAAACAAAGGGAAATAGGAAAGTGTTACTGCTCTTTCCAACATCTTTTATTAAAATGTTTGCATTTTACTGCAGATGTTTTTTGTTCTCTTCCTCAAAGAGAACTCCCCTGAGTCAGTGTTAATAAATCTACCCATAAAAGCTTAGTAAGAGGACAAGTGAAACCCCTGACATTCACCTGGGGAATAAGGTATCATGCAGGGCCACCACGTGGAACTGGATAGTAGTCAGATGTGCACATCAGCGGGACCACTAACCTCATCACTGTTTAATACCAAAATAGACATTTTTAACTTGACAACAATCGTAAGTCTTACAGAAGAGACTTGATTGTGTTCACTATGCGATGTTTACTAAGGCAGGACATGTAAATATAGATGAGAAAAATGCTCAGTATTAAAATGTAAAGGAATGGACTTCATGGGCTAACTTTTAGTTCTCTGGCTTTTTATTTTGAGTACCCACTTACCAAGAGTTTATATTGGTTTGGCTAGCAGTGAGCTCTCTAACAAGATGCAATGCCATGGAATTCATCATTTCGCCAATTATGAATAAAAGTAGTGGAGACGGCCAGCCTTAAATATAGTGCCTTTGGTGATTAAGGATGATCAGGTGAGTGGTTAAATAGATCAAGAAAAGGAAAGAAAAATCCAACAATCCTTATTAAAAAACAAGGGTAAAAATGTCAAAACAGTAGGCAGGCAATAGGAAGAATGTCACTAAATTATGTATTCCTTGGGTTATTAACAGTTAGACCATAAAGTTACAATGTAAGCAGAGGCTTGGGTCAGGGAAGGAAAGATGTTCTAAGCAAGTGCATAAAGAAATAGAATTGTACTTGATGGTGTGTGTATGTAAACATACGGGAACTGTTTAGAACTGTACACTGGAATTTCTACGTAAAGTCTCATGATTTAATATAATGTCTCTGAGGCATATGTTGCAGAAAGGACATTTTCAGAGATTATTATTTAGAAACAAGTATATCATATGCATTTACAAGAAATAATTTTGTCTTCTTATTTTGCTATACTATGAATACATTGAACACAGGTTCTTTTTTTAAAGGGACAATGCAGCTGTTTCCAAACATATTTTATTAAAACGTTTGTATTTTACTGCCAGTTTTTTGTTCTTTTCCTCCGAGAGAACTCCTGGTGGCCAATGTTAGTAAATTAACCTTTCTAATTCAGGAGCTTGAACAACAATGATGTAATGGGCTCTAATGGTGTTTACATTCAACACAGTATTGGTGAAAGTAGAAGAAAGACACTTATACTGCATAATAAGGTACTCAATAATGCTTTGCATTTCTATTGACAAAGCTAATATATTTCTTCTTAGGAATGATACACTTCCAAAGCAAAGATTTGATGTCATCTTAACGAGTCTACTTTCGATTGTAGAGTACAGTGAAGCCCTAGTAGAGAGGAGTAAGAAATTTATTTTACTGGAGATAATAAATCTGACAGGGGAACTCTCAGCATAGATAGAAGTTGATTCGGCATAGAGTTGCTTTACCAGCAGCCCTTTGAGCAAACTCTACAGTTCTGTATGTGGTTTTAAATCCCTGTACATTTGTAGGCAGGTACATATTACAATTGTCTGTTTTTCTTTTTAGGGTTCATGTAATCAAAGAAGTTTCTTTGTTGTGTGTATCTTTACAGAACACAACAGGAATTGAAAATGAATCAGGTGAGTTTAAAAATCAGAATTTATACAAATACGTGACCTAGATGTTAGACCAGCTCTTGATTTTTTACCAGATAGTAGCACACACATTCATTTCTCCTGGATTCTCATTTTTATTTCTTAAAACCATTAATTAGTTCATTGCGTTCATACTGTGCATTTGTTCGTGCAGTGAAATGTGCATTGTTTGGGCGTGGGTTGGCATTTCTGTGGTTCTCTGAGTAGAGGACTCATTCTTAATGATTTTCATTAAGACTTTCTTTTTGACCTCTCTCATGCCACACTCTAGTGTGAGTTTTTTTGTGTGTATTTGTTTTGAAGTTTATTAAAGTTTCATTTTTAGCATTTTTTTATTTTGTGATTATCCGCTGGTTGAAAAGAGAGGATTAAAAGTTATTTATAGAGACTGCAAATAATCAAAGAAGAACCTTTAAGCATTTTGTCCTTGAAAAACCTGTTCTCAGAATAAAAACAAGAGGGCAGATATTGAAATGTAAGATGTGTTTTTCTTTACAGGAGATGTGGGATTACCTGATGATTAAATTACTCTGCTATGGATATTTCCATAGCCTCAAGGGTGTTCTGATAAGTAGAACCAGTTATGTGAATCTAATAATACATTCTAGAGTAGGATTCTTATTTTCTGGTTTCAATATCATCTCACTTGTAGTTATAGAAATTAGTGGGTGTCAGAAATGTTCTTTTTAAAATCTTCATAAGCACTTATTTTTAAAATATGAAGGACAAAACCAAAAATATGAAGTATGTAAATTTTTCTTTAGTCCTTAGCTTAAAATTCTCAGACTTGAAAACATTTTGTATCCATCATCAACTGAAACTTTGGACACCTTTTTATCATTTACAGGTGATTCTAACTAGAGATCACAAGTCCAATTTAATTAGCGGGCCAAGTTTAATAAATTCAGCCCTGTGTTGCATTGAGAGATGTGAAATTTTTGGAATGGATTCTTTTGATTTCTTTTTCATTACTTTCTTTATCGGAGATGTTTATTTTAATGCAGAGGACATGTAACATAAAAATCCGAATCTGGCGAACACATGGGACACATGCTTTCTATTATTTTAAAACTTGCAGATTTATTGACATGCTTTTGAAGGCAAATTATTTTTGAAGTGGTGAGGTGGGGGAGGAAAAAGAATAGAGTGGATTTCCACAGTCATCATCCATCAGAGTTATACACATATATATTTCATAGGTTTTATTTACCTTCCTATTTTAAGATTGATTCTTAATGAGAAACTGGTCACCAAAAGGAGCTTGCTTTTCTACTGTCTAGGAACTGTTTTATCACAGTAGTCTTGATTTGCGTTAGAATGGTTGTGAGTTCTTCCAAAGTGGAATCTAAATGTTGATACTGTTCTTGTTGCATCACTGTTCAGAAATCATTTATTTGATGTGCCTACACCTTTAACCTTAGGATTAATCATGCCTTAACTCTTGTACAGTATTAGGCTTATAATATTTCTAGTGTGTTAGACTTGACACTTCAAACTTTTGCTGTATATTTCAATTATATCAAACAAATGTCTGTTTAAAAAAGCCTGCATGCCATTCAAAAAGTTGTAGCAATAACCGCTTCTTTTACTTGGCTCTTTTACAATTTCATTTTGCTTTCGACAAGTTTTAATATCAGACCTGCAGAAGACTGCCTTTGATGCCAGATGCCAAGTTATCAGTGGAAAAGTGTCCTCTTATGTTTCTAATGGTTAACACATTTCTGATTTGGGTGTAATTTAAATGGTCTGATAGTAATGAAACTTTTATTTGGATTATAAAAATTGTCCTCTTTTTATGAGTAAAATTTTTAGCATCTTTTGTTATATTTTCATTATTAGAAGAATGTTAATTATATGCTGTTTAGACCTGATTGTTAGGGCATAAAATCTATCAGTATTTTTCAATAATTACCCCCGTTATTTTTAAGGTTTCTGACTTATTTCAGGATAATTTATGGTTTTCCCTTCTCGTATTTTTTCTCTCATTTTCATCCAGTAAATATGAGCAGCTAATGCTTCAAAAACTGAAAAATAACTCTACACAACAAAATTCAGATATAAAAAAGTTTGAACTTGAAGAAGATTGACTTACAAATAAAATCCTGATAGTTATTTTAGGATTAGGTTGTTCTCCCTGGGGACGGATCAGCATCGCTTTGATGGATTTTAGTTGCCAGTTCTGCTTCTTCTGATGGGTATGGTCTCTTAGACAGTAGCGTAGAATAATTTGTTTATATATGCCTGGCAGTTGAGCTTCAGGGACTGCAGGATCCTAGGTATGGGCATGCCATATGGTTTGTTATCAATTCCTTTAGAAGAAGCAATCGAGTCCACAGCCTGCCAGTATTTTAAGCACTGACTATTGAGGCAGCATTCTGAACTGTTGCACTCAGTTCTATCCGTGTGTTGCAAGTCGGTCCTAGTGTGATATAGCTCCCTCTGAGCCCAGTCCTGGGGCTCCACAAAGCTCCCCGACCCACATATTCTTTGTCTTTCTTTCTCTTCCCTTCTGTTCTTCACTTAAAACTTACCCCTTTCTTAATATCTCTTATCCTCTCAATTAGAGCCAACTTGCTTTGCATGTGAGTCTTGGATCCTTCCACTTGAGCCCATGCCTGGGTGGCAGCAAGAGCAGTAGTCATTGTGCCTCCTCCCCTGGCTCTCCGTGCTCTCTTTTCTCTGTTCTCAGATCATAGGTCTCCTGCTTGCTTCATTTACATTCCATACCCGTCCTGATACTTAACTTTCGAGATGTTCTGCTGGTTTCCTTATTTTCCTAGACTTATCTAGGAATGGCTTTATCTCAGGAATAGGTCCGTTATCTCAGTTGTCCCTAATGTTCATTCATTCTTTCCCTCATTCATCGTGCACAGACTGTACCCCAGCATGTTGTAGGTTCTGTAGTGAACTAGGTAGGCAGGGGCTCTGCCAGTAACATACTCCAAGAGGGAGACAGTTAAAAAGGAGGAAGACAAGCAAGGTAATTTCAGGTAGTGAAAAGTGCTTTGAAGATAATTCAACAAGATTTTTTATAAAGGATGATGGGTGGAGGTGAAAGGAGGTCTTTGGATTACATGGTCAGAGAAGGCTACTCTGTGGAGGTGATTGCTAGTAGAACTGAGACTCAGGTAATAACCAGGAGCCAGACAGATACATGAAGATCTGGGGAAAGAAAATTCTAGGCAGAGTAAATACACAGTGGTACAAAGGCCCTGACGTGGAAATGAGGTTGTTTGTTCAAGGAACAGAGAGCAAGCCAGGTTCTGGAGCTTGGCCCTGTCTCGGACTCTGGGATAAGAGGACATCGATATGAGAGGCAAGGTTTATAGGGCCTTTAGGGTTACTGGACAGTGACACAAGCTGATTGCCATTTTTAGGACGCCCTCCCCACTGTGGTATGGAGACTGGATCGTAAGGGAGCAAGAGTGTGGTGATACGTGTGTTCACTGTTGAGATTAATACCATGCTTCAGGACAGTCTCTTCAGTTGGACAACTTAATGGACCTGACAGCTTTTTGAAAGAGGGTACTTTGTTATATTTCGGAGCTAATATGACTGCTGTTCTTTTTCAAAAATGGTGTATAAGTGTTTCTTGTTTTGTGTTTTCATCTGTTTATTGTTATAGCAGTCCTGCTCATTTCTTAACCAAATATAATTTCATGCTATTTCAGTAAACGGAAGCTTGTTTGATTTTTTTTTCCCCATCATTTGTTCCAGTAGCTTAGTAGCTTAGATTCTTGTTTGCAAATCTATTACAAAGATGAGTTGTTCATAGAATTTTAGAGATTTTAAGCTCTAAAATTAGAGATTAAACTGATGATTCTGAGCTGTTTTTTTGCTTGTAACAATTACTTCGGTGACTATTATTAGTCTGTTGTAGCAATAATATATATTTTAGTATGAATATACTATGAAGTGTTCTTAATATTAAGGAAAATTGACTTAATCTATTCCATCACATATTGCCGTCACTTTCCAGTTAGTTTTGATCAATCAATATTTAAGAAACTAGGTGCTTTAATTAAGTAGATTAAACTGATATAATAATTTCTGATAATTCGCTGGGCAAAGCATGTAAAAGGAGTTACTTATATAAATTTAAATGAAACACCAATAACACTTGCTTATTCTTATATATTTTTAAACATAAAAACATTAGTATATCTTGACCATGGAAAATGGTGCATGCAACTTTATGTAACAGCAGCCAGTGCCAATGTTATGCCCTAGAGCAGAGTTACCTTGCTGATGGCAGTGACCATTTGTCTAAAGAGTGTGGAGAGAGGGGCTGGAGACGGAGAGTGGAGGAGGTTGGTTCTGTGGTTCACGTGCCTGGAGCAGAGCTGAGGAGGGCAGAGTAAATGGTCAAAGAAGTGTGGGCTCAGCTCTGGGGTCGCTAGAGTGACCAGAGTAGACTTTGCCAGTGAGGTGGGGTACTTTTGTAGGGTTTTGAGTCGAGGACTGTTAGAATTGAGTTAAAGAATTCTTAATAAATACAAATAGTTAAGGTATTCTACAGGGCAGAATCAGGACTTGGTTACTGGTTGAAAACAACAATAATAAATAATAATAACTTGCCATGTTTCCTATGTGTCAGACACTAGCCTAAGTGCTTTCTGTTCAGTCAATCATTTACTACTGACTGCAACCACATTGGGTACCATTACTATCCCTATTTAACAGGTAAGAAAGTGAACACAGTCGAAAATATTATTTTCTATTGCATTGGTATGTTTGTCCTTTGTTTTCTTGGTGCATTAAAGTTTCATTTTAACATGATTTAAAGATGAGAATTTAGATTTATTGACCTGTTATTTGATTTTAAAAATCAATTTTGAGGTATATTCTGCATACAGTAAAAGGTAACTGTTTTAACTGAACAGTACAGGTTTCACAGCCGTATCGCTCTTACCACTGTCGAGTCATAGGACGTGCCCATCACCCCAAGAAGTTATTTTCTGCTGCTCCTTAGTTGGTCTTTCCCT